TGATTAAAAGCACTCTGTCAAAACAGTAGCTGAGCCTACTCATTTACAGCTTAGAAAGAAAAAGAATTAGCATGTCTCAGACATAATAATAGTGATAAATGTGCATGTTCTCAGGCAAAATGCAAGACTCTGCTATTCAGCTCATTAAGTGAAAGAACAGTTTCTGTCTTGGAGAAGTACAGTATAGTCTGTTTAATGCAGCATTTATGCCTGCACAGAGACTTTACAATAGGAAAATAACCCAAGAGATGCCTATTTTTTTTCTGTTGCTTTTCAAACACATTTGTCTGAAGAGGGAGAAATAAGATTTAATTGCAACAGAAGAATTTTTGTTTTTGATCTCTGTAATTAACAAGAGAATGTATAGCATTTCTGAACAGCTAAATGTGTGGGAGCAAATTTATGTTTAAGATGCAGACTGTTTTCTTCTTCTGGAGTACAGTAATCTGTACCCATCTCACTTTAGAGTTCATATGATGTTTCCAAAGCCATTTAAAGGTGAGAAAGTCTTTCCCAAATGAGTTGGTGTTCAACCCACCCATAAACCACTTATACTACAATAACCCTCTATCACACTTCATCATCTGTGATAGATTTTTAACTCAGCTATTAAAACCAGTGGACATCTGGGAATCAAGAATGGTCAGCCAAATGCAGCAGATGGTAGATTTTGTCCTTCTAAAGTCAACTTTCTGTTACCCTGCCTTTTCATAATTCACACACCCACATAAACAGCAATGTAAATGGATTTCACTGAAAGTGAATTATCAACATATTTTCTAAGTTGCTGGACTGTATGGAGTCTCCTCTGCTTTCTATAAGCTTCAAGAGATCAAAGGGTTTGATCGTTGTCAGAGGTGGTGGTGAATTTCTCAGTTTATGATAGAGGAGATTCTTAATGACACACCCTAGTTACATGGAAGACACATAAAGAAAAGCCAGCACCTTTCATTCAGTCGGATGTTGTAAACTGCATACCATCCTCACACACCCAGTCATGTTTGGAGTAAAGGCAGAGACAGCTGGAGCAGAAAATATTAGATAAATGTTAGGGGTGAGAGGGTGCATATCAAAACAAAGAACAATGCTGGAGATTTATGCAAAGTGTTATGAGATCACTGAGAACCACATGGTTATCCTGACTTCAGATAAAGTTTCCACTGGAGATCAGTCACAGAAATGTAAAGTATTTGGATCAGTGTCAGGAGAAAGGCACTAAAGGTAAAGGTTCCCTTGCTCGAAAGCCAGTCGAATCCGACTCTAGGGTTGCGGTGCTCATCTCCGTTTCAAAGCCGAAGAGCCAGCGCTGTCCGAAGACATTTCCGTCGTCATGTGGCCGGCATGACTAAACACCAAGGCGCACGGAACCCTCTTACCTTCCCACTAAAGGGGTACCTATTTATCTACTTGCAATTTCTTGCTTTCGAACTGCTAGGTTGGCAGGAGCTGGAACTAGAGATGGGAGCTCACTCCGTCATGCGGCACCCGGGTCTCGAACTGCTGAACTACTGACCTTCCACAGCCTGCAGTTCAGCGTCTTAACCACTCGAGCCACCGCAGGATCATTATTAGATATCACACACTGCTTTCACAAGAACTTCCTCTTTGCACTCCTGTGTGTAGTGCCACCACCCCTCCACCTTCAAATCCCTCCTCAGAACTCACTTTTCCCCACACAAACTTTGGCTTCTCACCTTGACCTTCATTCCCAGCTGAATCCAAGCTGTAAGGACCAAACTAATCATGAAGGTGAGAGATTAGTGATTAGATTGCTCACCTTTTGTTAAATTGTACATGGTAGCCCTGGCAGGATCTCAATCAAATCAGGTAATAACAAGGTTGGCTTAGGGGAAGTTAATACTTTTCCTGGGTACCACTTTCTGTTTTAAATGGACTCTACTCCCTTCCCCCCCCCAAAAAAAACCCTGCTGTTGGCAGGTGAGAGGAGAATTTAGAGGTACACATACAGTAAGATCATCCTCAAGGGAACAACAATAACTTTAGTGGGGAAGTTTAAACCCACCATTCTCTGCCACAGCCTCAGTCTGCTGCTCTTAATTTTTAAAAACATGGGAAATGTGATACCGAGGTGTCCCATCATCATGTCTACTTTGGTCCTAAAGACATGTAAATGTATTTGCCCATATTCCTTCCCTCCTTCCTATTCCTGTCTTTCCCTTCCTTCCCTCTATTGTTCCCAACTTGTCCATTTTATATAAAAAGGTTATTTTCATTTTAGAGATACTGGGGATGAGATACCACTTCAAGCCAACCTACACATACCACTGAAAAAAGAGAAATGCCACTAGAACCTGTGGGTTGAGCTGCCATTAAAAAAAATATATATCCATATTTTCAAAAACCTCACTGTAGTACAAAAATACCACATCAGAGAAAAAAAAATTCCCAGTCCACTTCCTACTGTGCTAGTTTCTTTTTATTCATGGGGAGGGGGTTTTTTTGGGGGGGGGTTGGCTACATAAAAGAACATTCAAAACTTTGATCCTCCACCTTCAGTCTGCACAGCCCATTCTACTACCCAGATGTCTATCACTCTTGTCAATGGGTGATACTGGAACATTAACTAGAAAACAATGACAGCAAACAATGGCCCTTTGCTCACTATAAATAACTGTTCATCTGCTCTGGGAAAATTTCACTTTCATCTAAGGTTGGGATGTAATCCCTTACCAAGCCTCCTAGGTATGTGTCCAGGACTGACTCGTCAAAACCTTGTGGGTTAGTGTTCGTAAGTGTTGCAGCTGTTAGTATAATAAAGTACCAAGAACAGCAACAATCTTGCCATTCTTCAAAGTGATATACCTGGGACACCTCCCCCTTCACAAGTGGCCTTGTGAGGTAGGTTAGGATGAATGTATTTATTTATTTATATTTATTTAATTTGTACCCCACCCTCCCCACTGAAGCAGGCTCAGGGTGATCCCTGATTCACCTAACATTGGCCTTTCAATTGCACAGCTGAAAAGGGGTTTCACTGATACAGTTACCTATTTAAATGTCGTTAATAGCAGCCATTGCAAGGGGTGAACTGGATTCAAGTGATGGTTCCTGGACATTTCCCCAATGTAAATTATTCCTGAAGTTGCTATTTCTCCCAGATAAGAAAAGCACCTGTGTATTAACCTGATACTAGCAAATAGCTGCTTTAGAAAGATGGGGGTTCATTGAGAAACAGTAGAAGGAAATTATGCAATCCCTCCCTTGTTGTCACTGCTAAAAGAAGTATAAGGAAATAGGTGATTCAGTCAAGGATTCCCAACATCTGAACTGGCTCAGTCCTTAAACTGCTTTGTAATTTGAATGTAGAAGCATGTCCACACAATACCTTGCTTTGTATATGAATGTTGTTGAAGTGGGATACAAAGTAAAAGAGCACCATTTTATACCTGGTGTATATTTTAGCCAATGTAGCTTTTACATTCACATTATACTAAATACAAAAAGCGCTTTTAATGCCATCTCTGAGAAGCCCTAGAAACTACATTGGATTGCTTTTTCTGGCAAATCTCTTCTGCTTTCTCTCACACATTAACAGCTACCACGCATGCTGAGAAGGAAGACTCCAAGGTGCTTTTAAAGTAGGAATGTGAAAAATGTCCTAAAAGAATTCATAACAGAAGAACCCCATTAAGGCAGAAGCAACAAAGTGAAACCACCTTAAGCTTCATTCCCATTGTCCATGATGACAAACAAGGGAGTTCTCAACTTACGTGTTAAAGTGACAATTTAAGATTCTCTATTTTACTTATTTACAGTATTATTATAATTGTTTAGAGCCTATTTCTTTTAGAAAGCTGATTACCAGTCCTGAAGACGACACACTATCAAGGCCCCTCCCCACTGCAAAACCCCACCAGACATGTTCCCTTGAGGGAAAACTGTTGCTGGCCAGTGTCTCCTCCTCGCTCAGAGGACCTGGGTGGGGGAAGAGGCACCAGCCAGTTATCACATCATGGCGAAACCAACCGTTTCTCTAAATCCCAGGAACTGCATGTCACCAACGTTATCTGGAGGAGAGGTTTTAGAGAAGAGGGTTTCAGACTGAGAGGGGGAGGGGCGGGGAGGCACCACGGCGCTCGGAAGTAACTCTCTGTGAATGAGTGTGATGTGTACATGTCCAGACCACAGCTGAATTTGAGTCCCTAACGACGCACACTCTGCCCAGACCAAAGTGTCCAGCGATCCTCCCCCTCCGAGATGATGCTGCCCACATCCGTAACACCTAGTCAGCCCCCACACACACACACGCCGCCGCTGCTTTGATCGCTAGCTCCGAGCAAACCGCCGATCAAATACACACACACACGTATGCATGCACGATACATGCCCTCGCGGGGGGTGGGTGGGTGTCAAGACACAAGAATCAAAGCCCAGCCTATATTTACAGGATTAGCCCGCTCTTGGCCTTCTGGGGTTTCTTTCCACCCACCCCACCCCCTCGTCTCTCATTGGGGAACTCCTAATTCGTTCAAATGCTGAATTTGCTCAGTAGGGGGGGGAGGGGAGAAAAGAGTGGGAAAATCCACGGAGGAATGACCCCATCAGCTGCCCCCTCCCTTTAAAAAAAAAGAAAGAAAAAAGACAGAGAGAGAACTTTACAACGTTGAGTAATCGGAGAACTTCTACACGGCCCATAAAAACTTCTTTTATTGTGCGGGTTTAGACCAGACAGAATTATGACGAAGATCAACCACCCCCGACGGGGAGACGTCACACACACCGGTCAAGTTTTGTTGATCTACGCCGGTACTGATCGATAGGGAATAGGGAAGCTCAAAGAAGGCCCCTTACCGTACGCCCCTACAGTCACGATCCGCATCGTATTTACTCGGCGGTTTACTTATTTCAGCTAGACTTATTTTCCGAGTAAGAGAGATTTAAACTTCTGACATAGCCAAACTTTTTCTAAAAGGCATATAACGAGCAAACAGAAGTTAGGATCGCAGACCCAGGCTCTCCCCCCACCCTTCCAAACTTACCTTCAGAGCAAATTTCTCCGCAGTTCTCTTGTTAAAGATTTCCAAAACTTTCCCATTAATCCCCAGCCCTAGCACTTGAGTGGTGACCTTGTAATCATCCGTGATGGCATTTTTCTTGATCTGAAGGCCGGACTTGATATGGAACTGGGGGAACTGTTGTTGCTGGGCCAGTTGTGGCTGTTGTTGCTGTGGCTGAAGAGGCGGCGGGGGAGGAGGGGGTGGGTTGGGGAAAAGTACTTGGGGGTTCTGGTTCTGGGAGTTAGACAGCATCGTACCGCCCGAAGACAAGGCAGCGAGCAGCAGTCCCTTCCCCGGCCGCCTCACCCTTCCTCCTTCTCGTCTCTTCTCTTTCTTTCCCCAACAGTAGGAAGTTTGCTCTCAAGAGCCGGATCAAAACTCGATTCCTTCCCGCTTCGCTGCTTGGAAAAGACAGTTTCTTTGGGGGCCAATTTCCCCGGGATCTTAAAAGAAACTCCGGACTTTGAAAGCGGCGATCGGCCCGCCAGATCTCACCGGAACAGGCGGCCGCCCCTTCTGAGAAAAGCCCCCCCGCCCCAACCCCAGCTTGGCCCCAGCGCCCGGCTCGCTGGCTCTTTAGAACGACGAGACAGGAAAAGGAATCGCTACAATGTATCAATCTCGTTCCTTTCCCCGGGTCGGCTTCCCTTGCGCTGATGTCACAGCCTCGCGTTGACTGGCTGCGCCCCGTGTGTGGGAGGAGCCTGAGGCGGGACTGCGGCCTGTGACGGGGGGGAGACAGAGAGTGGCAGAGCCAGGCCGGAGGGAGGCTGGAGCAGAGATACCGCGGCACGTTTTAACTTGATTAGTAGAATAGTCGTTCTGCTTTGCCTATAGACGTTGCTGGCCTGGGTGAACGTCGGATCTAGCAAGCAACTTTTGTCTCTGTTACTCTCTGAAGAGTTCTGTGCTACTCCGAAGCTTGCTTCCAGAATTGTAACTAGTCTACTAGTTGACGCAAATAAATTTATGGGGCAATCCTAAACAGTTACATCCTTTTAATTTGATGGTCAGCCCAGCTGTTTTAAATGCATCCATGCAGGTAGGCAGATTTGGAGATGTAATGGCAATATGGGCATGGATAAGGTGCTCATTCATCTGGGTTAGAGATTTTTACCTGAGATCATCCATCTCCTTTTCATATTCAGGAGGATCACCCTACTGCAATATACCAATATCAGGGCAATGCCTTTAAGAAGTGGAAAGAAAACCCTGAATTCCCAAGCAAAGCCTGACATTTATTGAGAGGGTTTTCCCCTTAAACTAGAGGTCTATAGTGTATACTTTATTTATTATTTATTTTATTAGATTTATATACCGCCCTCCCCAATGGGCTCGGGGCAGTGTACAACAGTTAAATATACTATTAAAATAATTTACACATAAAATCATAAAATACTGTATAATTATAAAAGTTGTCAGACGACTAGTCAGAACCGGCCTGATGGACAATTGGCCTGGAAAAATTGGGCCGAAAAACTTAGGGCCAGAAAAGCTGGAGGGAGGGAGAAGGGGGGACATCCGCTACTTCAACCAAATGCCTGGCGAAAGAGCTCCGTCCTGCAGGCCCTGTGGAACTGCAACAAACAACTGAAAATGTATTTACTGCACTGCCCTAAAAGTAGTTGTTTAAAATTTTGAAGATCAAAAATTTTGGTACACAGTTATTAGTAAATTCCCTAATAAGAGTACATATCTAGGTGGGTAATTGTCCTAAGTGGACTTTCTGGAGAAATCAAGTGGTGGCTTCTAGCCCACTTCAGGTGTTGAGAGCCAAATTGTAACAGAAATTTCTTCTGTTTGTCTTAATAACACAAGGCAAATAGAATTCGGAACTCAGATAAGCCCTGTATTTTTTGGTCCACCATAGTTCCTTGCAGATATCAGATCTGTTTCTATAGATCTAGAATGTAATTGTTTATGTAAATTATCAGTCACAAAGGATCCACACCTATAGAAGCTACATCATCATACAGGCAGAATTGAAGGGATTATACCTGAAGTTCTCCTTCAGTGGGGGGAAGTCATCCAGGGTTAGGTCATGCCTCTGCTCGCTCGGATAGGCTATGCAAATTTCTTTTGTTGTGTGGCTCCTATTGGAGTGGCCTAGGCTGACCTCTCCTCTCCAGTTCCTGCACAGCCCTGCGCTCGGTAGGACTTCTAGAGCTCCTGCTCCAAGTCAGAGGAACTACCAAAAAAAGTACAAGAAAACTCACAGACCAGGAAGAACTTTCTCTTCCCCCCTTGTGGATCCCTGGAAGACCAGAGAAGACCGCGGATGCCCCAGGACAGGAAGAAGAAGAGACGTGGCCCCCTCCCCCACCTTCCAAGGCTCCGGAAGGTGAAAACATGGCCACGACGGAGGTCCCCGTGGAGCAGCAGCCCAGCACTCCCGAGGTACCGGGTGTCGAGCTGCAGAACACTCAGTAGCTGGAAGAAGCGCTGCTGCAACTGCCGACAGACGACAGCTCCACCGGCACGGGGCCGGCTGAACGCACAGAGCCAGCCGGTCCCCGTTCCAAACCCCCCCCCACGTGTCCCAAGATGGCAGAGAGACTGGCGGCGGCAGGACCCAGCAGTCGAAGCTTTCAGGCTCCCGTGCCCAGCCGCACACCAAGAAGACGACCGTGGCAAATTCGGCTGGCACAACGGCCAGCAGCGCAGGAAAGACGAAACACCGTGGAAGAGCCAAAGGGCCAGCGAGCCCATCCGGTGAGCTCATTCCAATTGGGGTGGACCCCGACGGGGGATAGCCCCAATGGCGGCACACCGGGACCACCCCAAGCCCACCCCAGTGGCCCGGGGTCGGCGCAAGCCCAAATCCTCACCCCTTGGGGAGCCATGGGACCACCGTGGACATGGACACCGGCAGGCATCATGTATATGCCGATGCAGTCCCTCCAGCCCCATCTTTTTCAACCAGTCCAGCCACCGTGTCCACTGCCAGCACAAGGCACAGGCGGTGCGGGACCGGGCTGCTTTACCAACGGGGCACCTTGGATGTGGCTGATGCTGGGTGGATCCTGGCCACTTCAACAATGGCCCCTGGACCGGGGGAGCCAGGAGGGGGGGCACAGCCCAGCACTCGACAGGGAGCCAAGAGCCCAGGGGCAGAGGGCTCTCTAGGGACTCCAGGAAAAGAGGAAACCTCCATTCCTCCACATTCCAGTCCTCTTCAGGCTCCAGGTCCCCATCTACCCCTAAGAGACCCAGGGGCGATGGGACACTTGCCCCAAATGAGGCGTTAGGAGCCTCTGAGGGAGAAAAAGAACAAAAACAGGGAAATGGTCAAGGGGATTGGGCCGGCCACAGCCAGGTGAAACTCCTGGGCGGGGACGCCTGAACAGCATTAGTTCTGCGCAGGCAGAAACGGCCTCCACTGTTACCTCTCTGGGCAATGCTGAGAAGGAGGAAGGTGAATGGTCAGGGGACAAGATGGAGGTGAAACCCACATCCTCTCGGCTGTTCCAAATTGAGCATTTTCAAAGGCTTTTAACAAAAATCATTTCCACTCTAAACTACCAAATGAAAGTGACGGAGAAGCCAAGGTCCTCGGCGTCTGCAAAACTAGACCCCAGGGGCTTCAAAAAACCTGTTAAGCTCCAAACCTTTTCGCCCTTCCCTGACTATTTTGAGGATGTTATATGGGAAGAATGGGCCAACCCTGGGGGCGGGAACTCCCTCTTGTCTATAGCAAAGTGGCTATATACGTTGCCTGAGGACACCATGGAGGACTTCAAGGTGCCCTTGATTGATGCTCCGTTAGTGGCACTACACTCGGGGACAGTGCTTCCCAAGGATGGGGGAAACGCCTTGAAGGACGCCATGGACAGGAAAAATGAAGCCGCCCTAAAAAAGGCACACGAGGCCATTTCTCTGGCAATATGCTCCACGGCGGCGCTCTCCAACTTCACCAGGGCCACCGCTATTTGGGTGGACAATCTACTGCAGGACCCGGACGTCTCTCCACTGGTCCTGAGGCGGACGCTGTTAAAGATGAAACGGGCAGCGGAGTGTGCTGCAGACGCATCCCAGGACAACATCCAATTTTGCGCCAGAGCGCAAGGAGCTAACATCACCATCCGCCGTAACATGTGGCTTAAACATTGGAAGGTAGACACCTTGTCCAAAAGCAACTTGGCTACAGAGAGGTTTTCCGGGAGGCTTCTTTTCAGTGAATCAAACCTAGACAAGGTACTAGTGGAAATCAGAGAGAAGAAGAAGGCAATGCTGTCTTCGGCCTATCGACGTGAGAGAGAGGCTAAACCTAGAACTTCCCATTCCTTTCGTGGTCACTACAATCCAGGATGGGGACGAGATGGCAGAGACCACAGTCCGTTCAAACCCTTCAAGTACGGCACACGGCCCAACCCCAAGCACACAGCTGCCTACCGGACTGATAAGGGCGCCCTTCCAAAAAAGCAGTCAGCTTGACTGCCAGATCGGGGGCCGGCTCCAGGCCTTCGCCCGGGCTTGGAGCCTAACCACCATGGCCCAGTGGGTGCATACGATCATCGCCCAGGGCTACAAAATAGAGCTCACTGGTTCTCCCCCTCACAGCTTCACTACATCACCAGCTCCAAGAAACAAAGAACGTCTATGACGGCTGCAGGAAGCCATTCTACACCTCCAAACCATTGGTGCCATAGAGGAAGTACCACACGAAGAGTGTTTCAAGGGAGTATACTCTGTCCTGTTCGTTGTCCCAAAGACGTCAGGGGACTGGAGAGCGATACTGAACTTGGCGGGGCCTGAACAAATGGGTGGCAAGAAGGAGGTTCCGGATGGAGTCCCTCCGCCACATATTGCAGGTGCTACAGCAGGGAGGCTTCTTGACCTCCATGGACCTCAAGGAGGCGTACTTGCATATCCCAATACACCCTTCCTCCCAACGTTTCCTACGATTCTGCTTCCAGGAACACCATTTCCAATACAAGGCCTTACCCTTTGGCCTCTCTTCGGCACCCAGAGTTTTCACCAAGGTTATGGTTACTCTGGTGGCATCCTTGCGCCTGGAAGGGATCCATATGCACCTGTACCTCAACGACGTCCTTCTACGAGCGAGGGATTACCAGACAGCAGTCCGCAACACCCAGAGGGCAAGGGAGTACCTATGTGCGCATGGCTTCCTCATCAACGAAGAGGAGAGCCACCTCACACCCACACAAGACCTTGTGCACCTGGACATGAGGCTGAACACAAGGCAAGCCACAGTTTCGCTTCCAGAGGAGAAGCAGCAGACGATCCGGGTCCTAGTGGCAGAAGTCAGGACCAAGGTACGAGTAGACCTCATGCAGCTGGCCGCATTGCAGGGCCTGATGATATCGACTTGATTCCATGGGCACGATTCCATGCCAGGCTCCTGCAGTGGAGTCTTCTTCCCTTCCAGCAGGACATCGCCAAAAAACGACACCTACAGATAAAAATCTCAGAAGGTCTGCGGAGGGAGCTGCAATGGTGGACACAACCATTGAATAGAGCAAGACCATCTGCTTCCTCAGACCCCGGCAATTGGTGATAACAACAGATGCGAGCAAAAGAGGCTGGGGTGCACACTGCATTCACCTAGTCGCACAGGGCCGGTGGTTTCGGGA